CTGGCCCCCTTAAATATTTTGGGAAGGCCGAAGACCCCATGTCCTCTGGGAGTTGGCTCCTATGACCCTACCCAAAGCACCCCACCAACTGCTTCCATATGTACAGACATAGCTGTTGGAAACAGTGCCGGAAGTGTAGTTTTTCTTGCAAAATTCATTAAAAATTGCTGAAAAACCATTTTTTGAGTTATTGGGAAAAAAGCTCAGTAATTTTGGGCAAAACAAAACAAAAAAAGCTCAACACCTTTTGTGTCTGGATTTTCACTCTTTGAAATATGGCAACCTTAACTGCCCTCATGAGAGAGAGCTGGAGTCTAGCAACATCTGAAGGGCCTCAGCTTTCAGCTTAATCCACTCAAATTTCACGAAAAAGCTCCAAAAGAAAGGATGCCTTCCAAACAGGATCCAAAGGTGACTATAAGAGGTCTTCTGGTAATGCATATTTCACCAAGATACACGGAAAAGTCAACACATTTCAAGTTCTTCTTTGATACTGAGTGTAGTGGAAAACCACCCTCTGCCTTCAATTCAAAACCGACTTCATCAACTCGTTTTGTGTCAGGCATCAATTTTCTATGCACCTATCTCTGCTGCCCTTGACTCAAACAATATGAGTCAGATTCTCAGAAATCATCTCAAGACAAGTTAGAGATGAGCTTGCAGTATCTCAAAATCTGGGAGAGTTGTGTACAGCTATTATCCAAAAGAAAAACAACAAAGCCAGTGGACCTGATGGGATGCCTGCCGAAATTTTCAAAGTGGGCGGAATTGAACTTACACAACAACTTCACAAGCTCATCGAAAAACATCTGGGAAAGAGAAGAGTTCCCAACAGACTTTAGGGATGCCAAAATTACCAATCTCTTTTAAAAAGGTGACAGAACTGATTGTGGAAACTATGGAGACATCTCTCTATTAGCTGCGGCCGGCAAAATTCTTGTAAGGATCTTAGCAAATTGTCTCTTAACAATATCCGAGGTGACCCTTCCTGAATCCCAAAATGGTTTTCGGCCTTTTAGGGGGACAGTGGACAGGATTTTCACTGCTTGACAGCTTCAAGGAAAATGCAGAGAGCAAAACCAACCCCTGTATATGGCATTTATTGACCTGTCTAAGGCTTTCAACACTGTAAATCGTAATGCCCTGTGGACTGTCCTTCTGAAAATTGGTTGCCCAGATAAATTTGTAAACATCATTCAACTCCTCCATGATAATATGACAGCAACAATCACAGATAACAATGGCTCTCAAAGTGAACCATTCACAGTGGGATCAGGTGTTAAACAGGGTTGTGTTATTGCCCCAACTCTGTTCATGTGTTTGAGGACCGGGACATTCACAGGGAAACCAAAATGCTTGTTTACAAAGCTATTGTACTACCAACCTTACTGCATGCTTGTGAAACATGGACCACTTATAAACACCATCTCCAAGTCCTCGAAAGATTCCATCAACGGTGTCTCCGAAAAATTTTACACAACACTTGGGAAGGCAGGTGAACTAATATCAGTGTACTGGAAGAAGCAAAGATCACCAATGTTGAAGCAATGATTCTTCAACATCAACTGGTCATGTTGTGCGGATGCCTGATGATCGTCTTCCAAATCAACTACTCTATTCTGAACTTAAAAATGGAAAGCATAATGCTGATGGTCAACAAAAGAGGTTTAAAGACTGTCTCAAGGCAAATCTAAAAAAAATGTAGTGTAAACACTGACAACTTGGAAACACTGGCTTGCGAGCACTCTAATTGGAGAATAGCCTTTACCAAAGGTGTCATGGGCTTTGAAGACACTTGAACTCATGATGCAAGGGAGAAATGTGCTAAGAGGAAGGCACGCTTGGCAGATCCACACCGTGATCAACTCCCGCCCAGAAACCAAAGTCCCCACTGTGGAGGACGTGTGGATCCAGAATTGTCCTCCACAGTCACTTACGGACTCATTGTTAAAACTGTGTTTATGGAAGACAATCTTACTCGGCTACAAGTGATCGCCAAAGAAGAAGTGGAAAATCACCCTAACAGAGGCAGCTCTGCCTTCAATTCAAAACTGACTTCATCAACTCATTTTGTGTCAGGCATCAATTTTCTATGCACCTTTCTCTGCTGCTCTTGACTCAAACAATATGAGTCAGATTCTCAGAAATCACAACTCTAACTGGTATTTAACCCCACCACCCCAAAGAAACCAAAGTTAAACGCTCTCCTAAATGGTGTTTTCTTTTTTCTATTAAATGCAGAACATGTTTTCAAGCTTCTGACAAGAATTGTGAAGGGCAGACCCGAAACCTTAAACTACCGGCTGTATCAGGTGATGTGAAACTGAGGTCTCTGTGGTGAGATAGATTCAACTCTGCACATTAAGCCAAAAGGAGGTGGTAGACTGAGCTAGCATTTCAGAATTGAAATTGAAATTGAAATACTTTATTGTCACTTGTACAACTTGTATACAGTGAGATTACATGAGCACCCCCCACTCAGCTCTCTTAGTCTTAATTCCCCTCTTTTACTGACGCACACCCACCAAACCCTAAAGTCAGTTGCCCTGTTGCTGTCTTTTCATTCAGCAGCCTAACAGCCCACGAATAGAAGCTGTTCTTTACCCTGTTGGTGCGACTAATCATGCTTCTATATCTTCTGCCTGAGGGCAGGAGATCAAGAAAGTGCCGGCTAGGTTGTGAATCATCACTGAGAATTTTCCTCACTCTCCTGAGGCAACGTTCTTCCACTATTTCATCCAGTGGATTCACGGGACAGCCCATAATATCTTGTGCTGTATTCACCACCCTCTGTAGGCACCTCCTATCAGATGATGTCAAACCAGCATACCACACCGTGATGCAGTATGAAAGGACACTTTCTATTGTTGACCGGTAGAAGGAGATCATCAAATCATCAAATCAAAGAATGCAGGTGGGGCAGAATTTGTGATGCCCTCATCCACCCAAACAGCTCCCCAGGTGCAATAAGTTAGCACAATGGAGAGGGCTGAGTGAAACCTTTTTCTGTGATTGCTAGCTTTCTACATGGAGGGAACTTTTAAAAACAGTATCAGGAAATGTTAAAACATTACCTCTCATCTGCGGTCCAAACTTCCAGCCAGCCATCTGCCTCCTCATCCTACATCATGTCTAGAATATCTCTGATCTGTGATTGTGCATATATTTGGCACGTCACCATTTGGTGTTGCATTTATCCTGTGACAGACATGCATGTTCTGTCTTTTTGGACCCTCAGGCTGCAATCAGATATCCACTTACCTGGGTGCAAGCTCCATTGAACTTAAGGGATGTGTTTCTGAGTAGACATGTACAGAGTCACATTGTAAGTCAATTGGGTTTAACCAAGAGGAGGCCATGGATAGGGTTGGCCCTACCATTGGGCAGAATGGGGCACATGCCTGAAGGAGCTGATGTTGAACAGGTGGGTGGTAAGACCCTGCTATTTAATTGTTTGTTGAAATTCTTAGCCACATTTCATCCTGGTGTGCAGTAATACAACACTTTCCATACAACAACAAAATGGAGTTCAAATAATTACAAAATAATAATAATAATAATAATAATAATAATAATAATAATAATAATTTATTTGTACCCCGCCCATCTGGCTGGGTTTCCCCAGCCACTCTGGGAGGCTTCCAACAAAGATCCAAAATACACTAAAATGTCACACATTAAAAACTTCCCTGAACAGGGCTGCCTTCAGATGTCTTCTGAATGTCAGGTAGTTGTTTATTTCCTTGACATCTGATGGGAGGGCGTTCCACAGGGCGGGTGCCACTACTGAGAAGGCCCTCTGCCTGGTTCCCTGTAGCTTTGCTTCTCACAATGAGGGAACTGCCAGAAGGCCCTCGGCGTTGGACCTCAGTGTCCACAAGACAGATAAAGGCCACGAAGCCAGCTTTAACAGAAATGGGATTATATCCTGCATTGGCTGTGAATGCCTGTTCCCTGCTAGGAACAGGGGGACCCACCCCCAAACTGCAGGGGTTAAATCCTGCTCTGTTTGGCTGTGTGCACTAGCCCTGGGTGATGTATTGATATATCATCCAAAACCGGTTTGAAATCCATATCATTTTTGACCTGGCAATATATTGCGAATCATGATGTGTGTGTTTGTGTGTGTGTTATGCGAAAATCGCAATGTAGGGAAAATCGTGAAGCCAGCCTATGCCTCTACATAACTCCATCCTTATTTCAGACATCGTGATATATTGCTATATTGCGATGTTTAGCTGGTGATACGTTGCGATGTTGAAAACCAGATATCACCCAGCCCTAGTGTGCAGCACCTTGCAAAGTGCTTTGGAGCCACCTGATGTCAGGTAACTGACCAGGGGGTAGCCCTGCTGACCTGTCAAATTTGGCCCTTGAGGATCTGCCCAGTGAAGCCAAAACACCCCTCACTCCTGCCCCCATTACACAGCACTTTGGAACAGTGCTTTGCGCCAGGAGTCAGCAATCAGCTGATAACCAGTGCTGCACAAGGGAGCACTTTGAAAGGGGCTTAGCAAGACTTGACAATTGCTTGATGGCTAGGACTTACCAAGTCCCTTTGCTGTTATAGAGTGTTTTCAAAGGAGCTTCTCAAGAGGAACTTCTCTAGTGATGAGGCAGAGTCTGCTGCACTGGTTAAAAAAAATAACTATTTATAAAACCTTTCCCTTTTTTTCCTTTAAGGATTCTTCCTCACAATTGGTTCCTTGGTTGCTTTTACCCAACAAGGTTTTCGCCGTGTCCCACCCCTGCCCTTTGTTTTGTTTGCTTTTTGACATTGCACAGTTATTTCATCTCGGTGTAAATGACCTCCGGCTAGGACTTGGCTCGAGAAAGTCAACACAGAAACGCTGCAATAAGCGAGCGCAAATGAAACGAGTGCTCTGAAGTCTGCTGGTTTACCTAAAACGGCACCGCAGGCCTCAGAATCAGCCCGGTGACCCCTCCCAAACTGCGTCAGCGGCCTCTTTGCCGCCCACGTGCTCCCTCCAGAAGCCTCCTTTGCACTTCTGAGTCAGGAAACCAAAAGCTCGCAAGAGGACGTGCCAGCAGACACAGCTGGGCCTGCGAGCTCAGCGCCTTCCAGAGCAGAATACCGCTCTCAGCATATTGAGAGAGGGGCTCTTTCTCAGGACGCAAAGGAGACAAGGAGGCTGGGAGGAGAGAAATGCTTTCTGCGTTCCGAAACGGCATCTGGGGGGGGGGGAGGGGGAGTTCAACCCCCTCTCCACCCCCTACACCTGATGTTCTGAGGTGTTTCAGAGCTGCACCACCAGAAGTCTTGTCAGCCCCCCGGATATCTGAAAGGCCGCATCCTTCCCTGCAAGTTAAAAGGGTGGGCAAATTTATCATTTTCCACTTCTCTCAGTTCCTCATTTTTCCCACCTTAAGTTCTGTTTTCTGCATTTCCAAAAAAGCTTGCCATTTTTTTATTTACATATATTTTTAAAAGTCCTCAAGAGAATTTCGTCAGCATCATAGTGCAAATTTCTCCTGATAAACAGTGGTACCTCAGGTTACAGCGCTTCAGGTTACAGACTCCGCTAACCCAGAAATAGTACCTTGGGTTAAGAACTTTGCTTCAGGATGAGAACAGAAATCGTGCGGTGGGGGCGCTGCAGCAGCGGGAGGCCCCATTAGCTAAAGTGGTGCTTCAGGTTAAGAACAGTTTCAGGTTAAGAACGGACTTCCAGAACGAATTAAGTTCTTAACCCAAGGTACCACTGTACACAATTTTTGTATGCAATTTTCCTTAATACGCACATTATTGCAAAGATGTTTCCCCAAAGATAACGCATGTTCGTATACAATTTTCACAAAAATAAGCACTTTTATGGACTCTTGACCCCAATATATGCATTTTCGGTCTCCTTTCTTGGCCGGAGAACTGCATTGCAAAATCTGGGGAAGTGTGAATTTTGGAAGATGGTTCTGTGTTCCAGTTCTCATCTTGTTCTAAAAAGAATTAGGTCGGCTCACCTTTAAATGTGAACTGAATCCAATCTCTCCTCCATCCCTGCTACAGGCCTTTTTTGAGCACTGAGATAAGCAGAGTGGCCTGGTACAATGGATGCTTGGGTTGCGAACGTGATCCGTGCGGGATGCACGTTCGCAACCCACAGTGTTTGCAACCAGCAGCGGTGCGTCTGCACACGCGCGGGTTGCGATTCGACACTTCTGAGCATGCACAAAGCACAATTTAGTGCTTTTGCGCATGCACGACCGTGAAACCCGGAAGTAACCTGTTCCAGTACTTCCGGGTTTTGGCGGTCCGTAACCTGAAAAAACACAACCTGAAGCGTCTACAACCCGAGGTATGACTGTACTTCTGCTGCCTTCAGAGGCTTGGCTGCTGGTGGCCCGGACAAGGGCATTCTCTGGGGCAGTACCCAGATTCTGGAAAGCCTTCCCTAGAGTGGTGTGTTGGGCTCCTTCACGGCAGAGCTTTCCATCATATGCTTTGAAACATTTTTAGGACTCAGGACTTGTAGCTGTAAATTATTTAAATTGATTTTAATATTGCATTTTTATATCATTGTAATCTGGCCTCGGACCTTATGATGAAGAGTGGGTTAGATATTTGATGATGATAATATCCATCAATCCATGCAAGGGGACACACCAAACCTGAGGGGCCAACACAGAGAAGGTCCTTGCTCCTGCCCTAGTGAGGTAATCCCAAGAAGGGCCTCTTACTGCTGTCATCCAGCTGACAAATTGACGCAGGAGAGCTGAGCTGAGCTTATTTTTCTCTTCCCATTAAGCGTTCCTTGAGAAAAGGTCAGCCACTTGGAAGCGGCTTCCAAGCTTTAACAGATACAAGGCACTAATCCCTTGTCTAATTTTCCATCTAGGTAGCTGCTGCTGGATCTTTCCTATTATGATGATTATTTAATCCAGCCTGGAACCAGGCCTTCTTCACCCACATGCTGGTCGGGGAAAAAAAAGCAGCCAGCACAATTTATCTTCAGCCAAACAAACTCAAATCCAGCTGGGAGGCATCAAATCTGTCAATGCCGATAAGTTATTAATAACGGTGAATGATGACCGGAGAAATAAAAGGTTATCAGCTCCTCTTTTTCTTTACGTAGCCTCTTTCCAGTGTCTTTGATTAATGCCAGATTTCCTGGCAAAGAACAGAAGCGCTCCTCTCTCTCTCTCTCTCTTTCTCTCTTTCTTTTTCAGTTGGCTTTATATCTAAGAGCTTTCTGTTTCTTTTCTTTTTTTAAAAAAAACATTTCTGCCCTTGTAACCTTTATAAATATTTAAGAGAATGGAAAGCATGAATGGGATCATGTGGGTCTATGGAAACCCATCAAAGCCGTATAGAGTTTCTATATATAGATAGTGCTAGAGAGAACACCAGCCTCTTCCAAAACACGGCACATCTTGGGAAGCAGGAGGAGGGGGGAGCAGCTTCAAAGGCCAGAGGAAGCCACTCTGAAGAAGGTGCCTCCTTGACTTGTCCTCGTCCTCTCTGTCTTCTTCAGACAGCTGTTTCTCTTCACTGGATCGCTCTCCCGAAGCATTCAGGCTCTTCCCCAATAAATGTAATATGCCCAGAGTCAATAAATGAATAAATAATTTTTTTTTGTATCCCGCTCTCCCCAGCCAAAGCCAGGCTCAGAGCGGGTAACATCATATAAATAAGACAATATGCATAATACAATATACAATATGCAAATAAAATAACATTCAACATTCATTAAAACAATATAGAATAATATTAAATATCAGCATTTCAAAATTAAACAGAAATCCACTCAACAGTTACAATAAGTAATTTCTAAACTCCAATCAATAAAGCAACAGCAAACCACAGTGCACAACATAATACAATACAAAATGAGAAGCAGAGATAAGAGCAAGTGATCTTAGTCTCAGCCACTTTGGGAAGTTTTTCAGGGATTCGCCATCTATAGGGCTAGCAGCCTCCTTACTCAGCTCTGCTTGGGAATTCAAAGAAAGCCCAAAACAAATGGGTTCAGTGGTTTAAAGTGTTTTGAAAAGTTCAGTTTGCCATCTGGATTCAAAATGGCGCCCCAGTTTGGCAAAAGGCTGTTCCTTGATTTCAGGAACCATCAAGCAAAATTTGGTTGTGCTATCTTAAGAGGTGTTCAAATACACTGCAGCCAAGCAACTTTCCAAAATATAGATACAGACAAGCTATCAGTACTTGGTACTGGCAGTTCCATCCTTGCGAGAAGTGAGGTTACAGGGAACTAGGCAAAGGGCCTTCTCGGTAGTGGCACCTGCCTTGTGGAACACCCTCCCATCAGTTGGAAATAAACAACTATCTGACTTTTAGAAGACATCTGAAAGCAGCCCTGTTTAGGGAAATTTTTAATGTTTGATGTTTTATTGTGCTTTTACTATTCTGTTGGGAGCTGCCCAGAGTGGCAGGGGAAACCCAGCTAGATGGGCAGGGTGTAAATAAATGATGATGATGATGCTCTGAAAATTAAGAAGCCCCCAAATACTATGATTTATAAATGGGCAATGAAACATATTGGTTTCTTGGGCTGGGTACGTCCCTCCCCCTAACACAAACCAATCCTCGAGGTATATGGTTGGCCACTGTGAGAACAGGATGCTGGCCCAGATGGGCCCTGGGCCTGATCCAGCAAAGGCTCTTCTTATATTTTTAGGCTTAACTTCAGGAAGGATATAGATCTATAAGTTTGCCTTCTTAGAAGGCATCAGTATTTGACTTGATGTCTTTATTTCTGCTTTCCCAATGAGCTTTTCATGTCACCTGCACAGTGCACCTCTGCAATGTTTCCAGTAGTAAGTTTCATTGCCATTGAGTTCTTTGCAGAACCATCAAATCCATTGGACTTCAAGCACCACGGACAGTTCCCTACTTCACCTCCATTTGCAGCTGCTAGACTTGCTCACCAGAAGGGCCATACCTTGAATGTTTTTTTTTTAAAAATAAATAAATTTTATTTAACATAATTGTTACAAAATATAAGCAGAACACTGCAAATACATACACACATATACACTTCAAATAAGCGCATATACATGAAAAAAGGAACAAAAGAGAAAAAGAAGAAAAGAAAAGAAAATAAGAGAAAAGAAGAAGAAGAAAAGTTGGAAGAATTTCTTCCAAATTTATTCTACAAATATCTCAATATGAAAATAATAATAAAATTTCATTGATTGACTTCCATCGCTTACACTGCACTTCCTATATACATTTTAAGCAAGATTGTATCTGTTATTCCATATTTTTCCCATACAATCTCACACAAATATTCTAATCAATAAGTTTTCTAAATCTTTCATAAATCTATTCTAAACACAACCAATACCTTACATTTAATCCTTGTCTACATAAATAATCATTTAGACATTTCCATTCTTTCTAGATTATACTTTTTGGTTTTTGTCTTATCAAATCAGTCAACTTTACTAATTCCAAGTATTCGCATAATTTATTCAACCATTCTTCTTTGGTTGGAACAAAATTTCCTTTCCAATTACTGGCTATCAACATTCTCGCTGCTGTTGTCACGTACAAGAAAATATTAATTTTGTCATTGAATGTTAAGATGCTATGCAGCCTTCAAAGAGATAAAAGAGTTCCAAAATAAAAGAGCAGAGAAGGCAGAATCCAGACTTTTAGTGGGTCCATTTTGTGCTGATCTACAACCCACATATCCACCAACTGGAGCCAGATGGGTGCAAAAGATGTCGCAAGTCTGGTGTGCCTGAGATGAGGGTAAGCAAAGAGACTTGTTTGGAGTCATTTCACACAAAGACCCATTTCTGCTGACCCACAAATATTTCTTCAGCTTAGCTGTCTAAATTAAGATGAGGGAGTTTTATTTATTTTAAAAGATATTTATAAACCACCCGTACATATAAAATATCACAAGGCTAAACCACAGTATTACAATGAAAACAATGAAAGCATCAAACACATCAGCAAGAATCTCCATCCTGGAAGGCCTGTCTGAATCACACACTTTTTAGACGACGTCTAAAAACGAGCAGGGATGGTTCCTGCCAAACTTCTATTGGCAAGGAGTTCCACAGGGCAGGGCCTACCACACTAAACGCCAGCTGGTAAAGGCCAACTGAACCTCAAAAGTGCCCCATCAGAAGACCTCAGTTAGACCACTTGGGATTAGAATCCTTTGCTGATCTACTGCACATTGCTCGGGGATCTTCCAGTAGACTCAGCTCATTTCTGAGCTGCAGGATCACTCTCTCTGCTCACAACCCCACGGCAACATTTAAAGCCTATTTGCTATGTAAGAGATTCTGGCATTTCTGCCATTTCTTCACACATTGCTCACACACAAGTGTGTCAAAAGGTGCGCTGAGGCCATATATTTAGTCCTGCTTCCAAAATATTGTGTCTCCTACTGCCCCCCCTCCATTGTACTGAGAATGATGTCTGCAGTGGGGAGACATCTCTGTTCATGGAGCCTTCCTGCATGGTTGAGAGCCTTGAGCACCCAGCGTTTTGAATTGCACAGCAAACCTCCATTGCATACTGAATTCTCCCTGCTGTGGACGTTACATAATTCAATCTTCAGTAAGATCGTTTTCATGTGCCTGATGCTTGAGTAATAATAATAATAATAATAATAATTTTTATTTATACCCCACCCTCCCCAGCCAAGCTCAGGGCAGCTAACAAGCAATAATAAAAACAAGTTGAATGAATACAACTTAAAAACAAGATTAAAATGCAACATTAAAATATTGAAACATTAAAATATTAAAATGCAGCCTCGTCACAGGAGGAGAAAGGAAAAGAAAAAAGAAAGAGGGGGAGGGAATCAAATTGGCTCCAAGCCAAAGGCCAGGCGGAACAACTCTGTCTTACAGGCCCTGCGGAAAGAAATCAGATCCTGCAGGGCCCTGGTCTCATGAGGCAGAGAGTTCCACCAGGCCGGAGCCAGTGTTGAAAAGGCCCTGGCTGTGGTTGAAGCTAATCTAACTTCCTTAGGGCCCGGGACCACTAGGGTGTTGCTATTTATGGACCTTAAGGTCCTCCATGGGGCATACTGGGAGAGGCGGTCCCGTAGGTACGAGGGTCCTAGGCCGTGAAGGGTACAATGTTGAGAACTTTCAAGACCACTTAGGTGAACATCTTATGAACACAAAGTGTTCTGGTGATTTACTTGGGATTCATTGGGCTGTGCAGCCTTAAACCACATCTGTCTCTGGAAAGAAACAACAGGGGCAGCACTTCTAACTCTCAAAGTGTGAGATTTGGATGTGAAGATAAGAAAACTCGCCAGACACGGCAGGCTATGTTCCCTGGGCAGATTTGTTCACTAGCCTAGCAAACAGATGAATCTCTTATGTTGAACACACACACCCTGCTCCCTCCGTGCCCTCTCCTTCCTATCTCTGTGCCTTTGCCTCTCCCTCTTGGGGTCTGATAGGTACCACATTGTACTTTTCTTTCCTTGCCTGCTCTGAACTGGAAACCGTTCATCAATTGCTTGTGAAATTATTTTTCTAAGCTTTGCTCAGTGGCTGGACCAAATCAGATTGTGGTTTCTCAAAAATGTCGACATTCGCATCTGCCCTCTTCCCCTCCCCATCTACCCCCCTCCATCCATTCAAACAATGACAGCCCTTGAAATATTTGCAGCTGGGTGGGGGTGGGGGTGGGGTCTTATGAGGATGCTCCCCACCCGAGTCCTTTGAGGCAGCTGCTTTGTGTTCGGAGCCCACTTTGCAAAAATGTAATTTCTGGATTTGCAAGATGGATTAATGAAAAAAGAAACACCTAATTATCACTACCGTTGGTTCTTCATCTAGTGGGGGACACTTGCTGTTCAGATTCTTCCTCCCCCTCCCTTGTGGTTTTCAGGGACAACTCAGGATGCAGAAGAAGGAACATCCCTGGAGGAATATTTTCACGGTCGTTTTTTGCGCATTAGATGGAATCAAGAGCTTTCTCGTCTCCTTGATCAATGGCTAATCGCTTGCTCCAATGATGGGCCACCTGGGGCTGCTGTTAAAGTGTCCCTCTCAGCAGGGTTAATTCAAAGCTTAGCCTTGACTTCAGGATGATTTCACCC